TGCGGAAATCCGTCAAGCTCATGGCCAAAGAAGAAAAAGAAGCGTCCCGCCCCGGCGCGGGCAAGAAGCTCGAGGTGCCCCTGTACAAGCGCCAGCAAGATCGCCTCGCGCGCGCGGCGGCCTACGAGAAGACAAGCGAGACCATCGGCCGGTGGCAGGAGACGGTGAAGCAGAACCGCCGCGCCGACCACCTCGTCTTCCCGCTTCCGCAGAACGCCGCCGACGAGGGGCTCGACAACCGCGAGTTGCAGGCCATCACGGCCAAGAACTCGACGGGCAACGAGCTCGAGCAGACGATTCTTAACATCATGCAGGCGTCTGGTCTGGCGATGAACAAGCAGGAGGAGAACGCGCGCGCGAAGGCCGAGAGGGAGGAGGGCATGTCAAAGGAGGAGCTGCAGGACATGATTCACCAGCGCCGGCGCGAGAGGGAGCTCGCCTCGCGCGAGACGAAGCGCGCGGCGCGCATCAAGAAGATCAAGTCCAAGGCGTACCACCGCGTCCACCGCAAGGAGAAGGAGCGCGAGGCGGCGAAGCTCAAGGAGGCCATGGCCGAGAACGGCGACGTCGAGGTCGACTCCGAGGCCGAGCGGGATGCCCAGGACCGCGCGCGGGTGCTGGAGCGCGTCGGCGCGAGACACAGAGACTCCAAGTGGGCCAAGCTGGGGTCGTCCAACAAGCGCGCCGTCTGGGACGACGAGTACCGCGCAGGTCTGCACGACATGGCGCGCCGCGAGGAGGAGCTGAGGCGGCGCAAGGAGGGCCGGACGGGTGATTCTGACGAGGAGGAGGAGGAGGAAGAGGACAGCGACAGCGAGGACGGATCCGAAGACGGGGAGGGCACCGGCCGCCGCAGCGGGAAGGAGAACAGGAGACTCCTGAAACAGCTCGAGAGCATCGACAACGAAGAGGACGACGGCCCCAAGTCCGACCTGATGAAGATGAAGTTCATGCAAAAGGCCGAGGCGCAGCAGAAGAAGGCAAACGACGAGCTCATTGCGCAGATCCGTCGGGACCTGGACTCGGGCGGCAGCGATGACGAGGAGGAAGACGAGGTCACGGAGGTGGGGCGCAAGAAGTACGGCAGCGCCGCGCAGCCCGCCATCTCGGCCCCAGCGCTGTCGAGGAAGCAAAAGAAGGCTGCCGCCGCTGCCGCCCGGGGTGACGACGTTGACATGGAAGACGGAGACGATGCGCCCAACAACAGCGCCGTCAACACGGGCTACTCCCTCACAGCCGAGCCCTCGACGACGGGCTCAGCCTGGTCCTCGGGCCCGCGCAAGAAATCCGCAAAGACGGGCGGCAAATCCAGCGGCGCGCGCGTAGAGGACCTAGACAACTCCCTCGCCATCACAGCCTCCTCCTCCAAGCCCAAATCAAAGTCAAAAGCAAACAAGACGACAACATCAGCAGCAGCAGCAGCAGCAGCCGACACCTCCTCCGAAGACTCCGACTCGGACTCCCCCGACTCCCACCTGCCCCTCGCCATCCGCGACATCTCCCAAATGGACAAAGCCTTCGCGGGCGACGACGTCGTCGTCGATTTCGCGCGCGAAAAGGAAGCCATCCAGACCGCAGACGACGACAAGATTGTCGACAACACGCTACCCGGATGGGGCGGCTGGGTCGGCGACGGCGTGAGTGCGCGCGAGAAGAAGCGTCAGCAGGGCCGCTTCGTTACAAAGGTGGAGGGCGTCAAGAAGGCGAACCGCAAGGATGCCAAGTTGGAGAGGGTTATCATCAGCGAGAAGCGCGTTAAAAAGGTATGCTTTCTTCCTTTCTTCTTCTTTTTTTTCACCACACACTAGCTTCTGCCTCTCCCCCTTTTCTGTCTCGTTCTTTTTCGAAATTACCTGCACAATACCACATCTTACACCATGAATACATAAAATAAAAACAGAACCAAGACTGACTTTCCCTATAGAACGACAAGTACCTCGCGACACAGCTCCCTCATCAATTCGAGTCCAAGGAGCAGTACGAGCGTTCAATCCGCCTGCCCATGGGTCCGGAATGGGTCACCAAGGAATCTCACCAGGCGGCGGTCAAGCCGCGCGTGCTCAAGAAGCAGGGCATCATTGCCCCCATGTCCAGACCGACAATGTAAGGAGGTTTTTTGGGGACTAGAAAAGCAGAGGGGTGGGACACTGGGTATTGGAGACGACCTATTTTCTTATTATTACATGCTACTACCCTAGATAGATCACGTCACGGCACTCTCTATCTCCAGGGCCATAGTTCAAGGCGTCAAAGGCAAATACAAAAAAGTGCAATTCTTGGTTCTTCAGACGAAAATGGTATATATTGTCTCTCTTATTCGGAACAAAGACTAGCGATTACGGACCTTGCGAACCAATGATTTTTTCTTTCTTTCTCTGTTCCTTTGCTCCGTTCAATTTTCTCCGTTTCTGCGGAGAGACCTAAAACCTTGGCCTCACAAACGAAAAAGCCACACCAAGGGAATATAATACAGTTCGGACTACGTACACAAGGGAAATGCGCACCGGGGGCGCATCATCCCCAAAGATAGATTGTTCAGTCACTCGGTGTCTGTGGGCTCGATGTGACTGTTGGGTATTGTCCCGTAATCGACACAGCGCCAAGACGCCTACTCGAACATAGTGGTAGGCTTGGTTTGTTTGCTGACGTAGACAAGGCAGTCGAGTGGCACAGCGCCTTGCGAATTGCTTTTTCGTAACTTTTGGCATTTCCAGCGCTTAGTTACCTCAACCCTGAACAACGGACAGCACCCGATCGATAGCGTCGCTAGGGCTGACATAGAAGGCCAAGGCGATGATGATGTACAGGCCAAGCAACATGGCGCCCTCCAAGTAGTTGGACTTGCCGTCCTGGACAGTGTACGTGACGACCAGGACAGAGAATGCGAAGGCGACTGTCTCAAAAGTCTCAAAGTGGAGAGTCATGGGCTTGTCGAGAACAGCCCATCCGAGGATGACCAAGAACGGGGTAACGAGAAGGGCGATCTGGATGCTAGAGCCAATGGCAACACCCATAGCAAGGTCCATCTTGTTGCGAATAGCAACAACGACGGCTGTGACGTGCTCTGCCGCGTTACCGACGATGGGGATAAGAATAAGACCAATGAAATTCTTGCTGATGTGGGCGGTTTCGACAATGGGATCGATGCTTTCGACGAGATAATCGGCGCAGATGGCGACCAAGACAGTGGTAACGACGAGAACGACGGCCGCCGCAATAGGGCCCATGATCGGCTCCTCAACCTCCTCCTCGTGGTGGTGCTGGGTCTCGGCATCGAAGAGGTTGGGGTGAGTGCGTAGCTGGAACCAGAGGTACAAGACATAAAGCAATAGCAGGATGATGGCGGTACCGCGGGAGAGTACCAAGATGCTGTGCTCCTTCTCGGCGCTTTCGGCCTTGTCGAGGACCGAGTAGAGCTACGAGGCATTGTTAGTCATTAAGCGCGGGGTTTCATGCCCTGTCGGGAGAGCTTACCGTGGCGGGGATGACCAGTGATGCTGATGACAGCGTCATCAGCGAGCAAGTGGTCTGCGCCGTAGCAGAGGCAAAGCTCTGTTCCATGCCCTGGCCAGTAACTCTGTCGCGCATGTTGACAATTCCACCAAAGAAGAAGCACATGCCCATGACAAGCAGCAGGTTAGAGAGAATGGAGCCCAGCATAGACGACTGGACAACCTCGATTTGACCCTCCTTCAAGGCGACAATGCTGACAATCAGCTCGACGGCGTTTCCAAAGGTAGCGTTGAGCAGGCCTCCGAGGGCCTCACCCAGCTTCATCGAAATTTGCTCAGTTGCAAAGGACAGAACAGCAGCGAGGGGGATGATAGCGAAGAAATTAATGGTGAAGACGGCGACTGGGCTCCAGTGCAACTTTCCGGCCACAATGCCAATAGGCACCATGACAAGCAGGAAGTTGACATAGTCTGAGAGAGAACGGTCTATTAGCACACGGCGGCGCATAGTAACGCTATATCGCATGATTGAACTTACTACTGAGGAGCGACACCTTGGTGACATGCCAGGCGTGCGATGAGTATCTTACGGCGGCATTGGGGCTGTCGGTGCCAGGTGTCTGTGTCGCGTTGAAGAGAAACTTCAGGGTCTTGTTGCCGCCGTCGCCGTTGACAATGTGGCTATCGTGGGTTCCCGAGTGGTTGCCATTTGAAAGAAGAGGCGAGTTCTCGTTCACGTCGCCTTCGCGGCCGTTGGGCTTGTTGGCTGTACCCCAGGAGCGGACCTGTCCGCGGAAATGTTGGTTGGCTGAATCGTCGGACATGGCGCCGTCATAATTAGCCGGAGCCCTGACCAGTATGAAGAAGAAGAATTTCCTGTCGCGCGGTTCGTAGATGTGACAGATGGGAAGCCGGATCGGATTTTGGGGGTAAGGCGTCCGGCGAGTACTAGAAAAAGGCGAGAATGGAAAAAGGAAGAGACAAGGGAGTGACGATCCACGCGCGGGATAGGGCGACCTGATAATCTGTGCGCCCGAATCCTAAAGGTGTAGTGGAAGAATGGAAAAAGAGTAGCGGGTGGTGGGTGGTTGCGATGCCAGAATGTGGCTTGGAGGAGGGAAAGATGGTGAATGACTTTCACCCCGTGGTAGAAATGACTTAGCGCGCCAAGGTGAAGGTGTCCAGGGGAGGGATGCAGCTTCTCTACCTAAGAGCCTAGGACATGGGGCGGAAAGAAAGTCCAACGGGGCTTGCTGGGGCTACACTAAGGTAACGTCGTAGCGGAAGAGTGGGAAAGTGGAATAAGTGCGGCAAGGTAGGTAGGTTTGGTAGACGCAGATAAACCATAAGGTAAAGTAGGTAGGTGCGAATGGCGAAAGTACAAAGCGGGTTTCAAGGCAGAATAACACGAACGTGGGTGGTAAACGGAGACATTGTGCTCAGAGAGATAACAAGGCAGGTAGAGAAGTCAGGTGGTAAAAGTGCGAATAAAAAGGTAAATCCGTAGATCAAGCAGAGAGAATGAGAATTGCAATGTACTTACACACCATGATGTCGCCTCTAAGTGACTTGATGAGTTGCTTGGCCTTTTTTGTCCCCTACCTTGTTATCACGGCCGGCAGTCCTAAGCTGCAGACAACGCTTTTGCGCGTGGGTATTTCCGAAAATGATAGTCGCGACGGACCGGATGAGATTTCTGCTCGAGGCCCTGTGCCTGCGCCGCCCGACGGCAAAGAGAGTGGAGTAAGGTAAGGTAGGTAGCGGACGGTTCAGTGACGGCTTGATCCAATAGATACAAGGCAATGGCAAGCAGTATTGGGCTGCCAAGTCCAAAGTACAGAGGAATCTATGTGGACGGTGTATCGACCGGAGGGGGTCCAAGTGGATTGGGTCCTTGGGTGCTTGGGATTGAACGTGCGAGTGAGCGTGACGATGCGATGGATGCTGCTGCAGCACGACTGCAGGAGGCTTGAAGCAGAGCGACGCGACTCGACGACGGGCTACGGGGAAGGGTGTTGCTGTGTCTTGACCGTTGAGAAAGAGATGGTGTGGAAGGGCAAGGCCAATTGGTAGCCTTTGCGGTGATGCAAAAAAGGTGAGGCGGGCTTGGTATCGGGTGAATCTGTGTCTGGTTGATAGTGATTGATAGTGCTTGTAATTTGTTACCGAAAAAGTAGCAACGGCAGCAATATGTTGTCCAAAGCCGTGTTCCAAGAAGTTCAGGCGATGGCAAATGAGTCTTGGCTGGGGAGAAGGGTTGAACAAGAAACGAACACAGCCCCCTTTTCCTGTCAGGCTACTATGGAGAACGTGGGACGGATGCCGTGGTACCCAAAGAAGAGAGAAACAGGACGGGACGAAACAGACGCTCTGAGTCTCTGCTGCGAAAGTGGTGGTGCTTGGTGTGATTGTGGTGCCGAGAGGGAGTGACGGGAACGAGGAATGACACTTCTGGATGCATGGGCGGCCTCCCGGATACATGCAAGGACGAACGGTGCACGCCGTGGTAGTGCAAGGTACATGCAAAAAGGTACATATCCAAACCAACATTTTGCATATCAACCCATTGAAAACCCACTCAACGACGTCGGCGTACGGATACACTACACTAGACTAGCACTGTTCAGCTTGTCAATGGCTGCTGAATCCAGCTTTACCGGCACTCAAGACAATTGCTGATTACCCCGGTATGACAGCATTGTACGGATCTACCTCACTAAAACACCCGCCGGAAAGAGAAGCTTTGAGTAACCATGGGCCATTTTGCAGTGAAAACCACTTTACTAGGGGAGAGAAAGGCCCTCCCAAACGTCATACAATGGGTTAGCCAGTAGCGAACAGGTTTCAGTCTTTCCAAAGCCAAGGGGTGAGGTTGGGGTGATGTTGGCGGCGCCCAATGAGGAGCTTGCTAGGATGCCAAGCGTGGCTGTGTTGTCTGGCGTTGCTTCTCATCTTTCTCCGCTGTTTCCTGTTCGGCGCCCGCCCACTTACCCTCTTGAGCAGTGAGCTAAGGAGCTTTCCCTGGATCCCTCCCTCCCTGAGTTGCTCTTGCACAATGTCACTTGTGAACTCACTCACTCCTTCCCTCCCACATTTCCGCCAGTAGGAGCGCCTTCCATTTCCCCAAGTATGAAGGTTCCGAGGGATACGTACCTGCTATCCATCACGCTACCGATAGCTCCCATGCTTTCCGTCATCGTCTGCTGTCAACTTTCCATTCCCTCGTCACCAGGAATACAATCCACATGCTACACGGCTCCTCGCATCGAAAAGAAGAGAGACCATCGTTATCGATACATTCGCTGGACAGCCCCTATCAAAAATGCAAACACTATCGTTGCCCGTTGGTCACCCACACTCATCTTGTTCGAACCCAATGCTGCGCGCCCGCCTCGCATTGCCTCAGCAACCTTTCAAACCTTGGAGTCAAAAATGATCAAGCTCAGTCTTGGCTTGACACTGCCTTTCCACAATTCCTCGTCTCGGCACGAAGCCGTCCCACTCTCAGGGAATTCGTCTTGACTTTCGGCTCAGGGGACCAGACGATATGCGACAGACAGCTCGAGCTCCAGCCCACTATTCACCATGGAACTCGCTACCCAATCGTGCCAATACCACGCTCGCACTACTGTATCCGAAGCAGAGCCCCAGTTGCTGGCCCATTTTCGCCGCCCTTGACTTTGTCCCAAACGTCAAACGGGGCCCCAAGTGCTGTGCTCGTCTGAAGATCGTTGCTTCGATTCAACACTCCGAGTTATTTCGGTCACAATACGGAGAGCATCCATACAACTTCGGGCTGAGATAGGGCGCCCAGAGTTCCATCTCACACCCAAAACCACAACGACGGCGACAAACAAGCTCCAGAGTCTACTCTCTGGCCAAATGCTGTTTTCGGTTGCCCTGCGAAACGCCTTGCCTTGGCTTGCTGAGGGTGGCGGGGGTCCGCCCTGTCCATTCGCTTTCGGAGTCCCCTGCACCGATCTACGGACCCCCCAATCCATCGCTGAATGCCATTTCGAACCTTGACCGGACATGGGGCCAGGAATCCCCTTACGTTGGTCCCCTTATCGCCATGATTCTTTATCGATAAATTTCGTTGCCGCTTTACTGTGATCCTCACCATCATCAAAGCCTCGTTGCCAAGCATCGTCAGTCTTGGCCTTTTACTCAGCCGAAAAGAATTCATGTGCTCATTGCCACACACACAGCCTTGCGATTTGATGGCCCGACTCGTGGTCTTCGAGCTTGGCATGTCTGCCTCGCAATAATCTTCAAGTCAAATGCTGCTCTACATTAGCCTTTCCGACGTTACTTCCCCAACTCTGAATTGCGGGGACGGGCACGGAGGCTGGCCTGTCGCCGATTGATATTACTTCCCAGCCGAATCCCGAGTCATCCTCCACACCATGCTTCATGCGCGCGCGCTTCCACGCGAAATTCGTGCGCTGGCACCTTCACAGCCACCACCATCCATTCGAAAGACACAGCAAACCCCACTAAACTCCGGCAACGTTCTCTGATACGGTGATGCCAAAGCACCTGCTGTCTGTTGCGTAGGGTGCTTCGTAAGAGGCACGTGGCTTTGAGGGCTTGGCCAGCCGGCTAACATAGCAAGGAGAAGCAGCAGTAGCTTCTCTCAATGTCGAAGACTTGCCGGTATGAAGATCTCAGAGTCGACTTCATGGACACCCGTCATAGAAACAACCAACGATGATCATGCTTGGCAAATCCTCGCGGACAAACACGGCCACAGCACTCATGCTTCTAAGCTGACTGCATCCACTGATGTTGGCAGAGCAGCAAGGTGCCAGCACAGCGGACTTGGTTCAGATCAAATCAAATTTGGGACAAGTAGCAGGGCCTTTATTACAACATCCGCCCAAACGCGGATTTGGTAAAAAAGCATGACGGTTACGCGAATACCTTGCTACTAGAATTTCGTCTTATATCCTCGCCCCAACACGGGATGTCATCTCTGGTGCACTGTCAGTCAATGCCCTACCGAGCTGAAAGGCATCGTACCTGAGCCAGCTGTGCCGACTTCCGAGTAGTAAGGATCACGCATCAGCTGGTAAGAGACTTGGCAAGAACAGACATCAACGAGACCTTGCATCCATGGCGGTTTGTGACCGCTAGCCCTTCTTCGACTCACAAGGCCAAGGCAGTTTACCTCATATGGCTCTTGATACAATAAGATGCCTGCTGCTCTGACGCGATGCAGTAACGTCGCAAGCCAAGTTGATGACCTTCCTGGGAAGTCGAAATCTCGCCTTCCACTCCACATCCAGGACGATTTTCTGAATCTCGAAAACCGGCATGAATGTGGAAGCTCGAAGCTCGATCCCCGTATATACCAAAGTAAGCACAGTATTGACAGTCAGTGCGCGCAAGTCGCCGTACGGTGTTTGGATTCTATGTCTATGTGGCAGTAGACACCGGCATCTCGACACCATCTTTGCAACTCCAAGATCGATACAGATCTGGCTGATCAAGCTGATCGTTTCTCTGCACAAGAGACCTAGACCAAGACTTTGTCCGCCGGCAGCCTGATTCTAACCAGCAGTTGCAATAAGCATTGTGGCGACCAAAAAGCTTAGCCTTCCGGCCCCCAATCTTTTTTCTCTTCCCGTTCATTCGCATTTCGTACCCCTCGCTGCCCCCAAGAGCTAGAGAAGCCGGGGCCCGTGTTACGTGGATGGGTGACGCGTCATCCGTGGCCCTGCCAAAGAGAAACCCATCCGCCCCCCTGGGATTTTCTTGTCAATCTGCTGCTGGGCTGCTCTCCCGTTTTATCAATGATGGAGGGGGTGGATCATAAAAATGCATGTGCCGTGTTTTCCTTGCTTGCACGCCCCGAGCTCGTTGCTTGAGCTACCTTGAGGCTTGGGATGCTTATCTGTCTCGCCCTCCTGCAGGTGAGGTGCACACGAGGCTCGGCTGATTTATGACCGCTGCGAAATGCAGACCCTGCATTCTTCAGCTATCTGTCCAACAGTTTTTCGGGATACCGGATGTGTGTATTGCATATTTCATCTGTTCACCTATTATGTACATGATTCAACGGGGTCCGAATGATCACCGTGTCTTGGCGGGCTCATTTCGTCTGAATTATTACCACGGTCGCTTATAATATCAGCCAGATCGTTATGATCAGAGGAAAGATGAACGTTTTGACAACTTGAGATGAGAGAGGGAGAGGCTTGGCATTTATTCACTTGGCAGGCACTTTTTTCTTTCACTTTTGTGTACTCAGTATGGACACTCAAAGGCTGAGAGGCAATTGCAAAATTTTCTTTCTTCGTGATAAAAAGATATAATCTAAGGTTCTGTTTGAGTAGGGCGTTGCGTGTCGTAGGAATTTCGTGTCGTGTCTTCGTATTGGGGCATTACATTTGTTTCGTTGTTCCCATCTCTTCATGTCATGCTCGTTGCTCATTGTTGTTTCGTCGTTCTCATTACTTCGTCCACGCGCAATAAGAAAAAAAGAAATAAGAGAAAACCGAATTCGAATGGTGCCGCCCTTCTTTGATCTTCATGTCGTTCATTCCATACACCAGTCATGTAAGTGTTGAATTAGGACTGGGTGTGGTTTCCCATTCAGGGTGTTGAAAAACGTCTTAGACGTTGCCCATCACTGAAAGATGATGTGTTAGTATTTGCTCGTACTGTGACAAGGCTGAGATTGGAAGGAGACTTACAAGCTGCATACGTCAAGTACCACGTCAAACTCGCGCCGCCGTCGATCCAGCTAGGATCAAAGTTGGAGCTGTTGAAAAAGTTCCACGCCGTCTTACCGTCAATCGTCGCAAGGTTTCCATAGATGATACCCCTCCAGCCGCCCGCGATAGTATCGACGCGTCCGTTGCTAAAGTACACGTCCCATTCTTCCTTGACGAAGGCCGGTGTGCGGACAAAAGGCGAGGGCGCGAGGAGGGGAATCATATGAATACCTTGGATGAACTCGATGTTAGCGCCAAAGTAGGTCGTGTGGTCAATCTTGTTCTCAAAGAGGATGCCGGCCACCTTGTTGCCGATAAATTGGGGTGGCTGCACGACATTGTCGCTCTTGTAGAGGTAGTAGTCCTGTAGGGCGCGGGCGATGATGGAGAGCTGGAGGTTGCTTCGCGACGAGAGCATGCTGTCGCCCGAGGCGTCACCCCACATCTTGAGGGCGTAGGCGTGCATCATGTCTTCGGAGCTTGATTCTTGGTCCTGTCGTCCGTGATGTTAATTCATGTGCTCCAAATCTCGAGTAAAGGTTGAACTCACCTTTCCATCGTACGAGGCGTACAGACCATGGGCCCAGCTGTGGCCATGGTACCAGTCGAAAGCACGCCACGTAGGGAAGTAGGTATCTTGGGTACTGGGGTTGGCCACGTCTCGCACCAGAGCATTCACATAGTCCTTGTTCGCACTCAGCCAGCTCGGGTCCAAATGAGCAATGGCTGCGGCTGCAAGGATATGATAGCCATAGTGGAAATGGTGGTCATTGTACTGCGTGTTGCCAAAGTCGGCGCCGTCGTTGCCCGTGACGTAGGTTGCCGAAGACACGACACCTCCCCAAGCGCCTGGGTCTGGTTAGCGGGATGTATGTATCGTCTCGAGAAACCGCAACTCACTTTCATATACCAGCGGATACTTTTGTTTGTTGGTAGCAAACGTGGCAAACGCTGCCTTGAGCCTGTTCAGGCCTGACTGCGCCAATGCTGGGTCGCCTAAAATGTCATTGATCACAATAATCAGTATGGCAAACTTGGCCAGGGCCTAGTTGCGAGTTAGTTGGGACGTTTCACAGATATTTGAAGTAGACTTACCTTTCCGCTGAAGTACATGGAGTCCAGATCAGACTGAGCCATCATGTCCTGGGATACCTCCTGGGCCGCTATCCCGCGGATCACGACTTTGGCGTTGTCAGATAGCGTGGTGAGACTGCCTTGGTCAGGGCTCCAAGGAGCGAAACCCATGTTCACAGGCAAGTTCGACTCTTGCATCGTCCACTGGTCAGCCAAGACTGCTGTTGCGATACCCTTGGCAGGAGTCATGAGCTGAACCGGCTGAACACCATTTCTTGTCGTAGAATCAAATGAGGAGACATGGTGCGGCAGCGCGTACATGACCAGCTTGCCATCAGGATGACCGTCCTTGGCAAACTTGAACGTGTACGAGCCCGTGGTGCCGCTCACTGAACCAGACAGCGCGACTGTCGTGGGATAAACACCGGCCGCCTGGTCAAGCAATGCCTCTCCGTTTCCGGGATCCTTGGCGACTTGAATGATTCCGTAGAAAGGCTGCGTTGATTGGGCGAGACCGTTGTTGACAACCTGCAGGTTGAGCTGGGATCCGGTGGTTGCATATGCGTATAACCGCCAGATCTTGCCGTCTTCGAGCTGGAAAGTGTACTTGGCAACGCCGGGCTTGGGGTCCTGTGTCACCCGCGTAACCGTCCTGAAGAAGACTCCCGTGCGGATCACGGGGGTCGCGCCGGCATACTGGGCTGTGATGAAGGGCATTCCTTGGACGAGAGGGAAAGAAACCGCCGGCACAGCTTGGGCATTCGGCTTCAGGTGAATTGTCGCAGAGAAGGCCGTGATGCTGTCGATTCCCACCGCGGTGTCCGACCCGAGCTCCTGAGCGCTAATTACCATTGATTGAATACCTACCGGGTTAATGAAATAAGACGCAGCTCCAGAATCCGCCTTGGTCGGGCCGAAGACACGTTGGCTCGCTTCGATGTGGGAAATCGTCATGCCGTAGCTGGCAGCGGCCCCTCGTCCTGCCCCCCATGCTATGCCGTAAGGGTAGGTGTACGTCGGCGCCGTCTGGTCTCCGAGGAAGAAGTTGGAGTAAAACTTGTTTGTCTGAATCGGTGAGCTCGAGGTGATGCCCTTTCTCGGAACCGGGTGATCACTGCGGGCTGAGATGGTGCCCGGGGGTGCCCCAGTGCCAATGGGCTCAGAAAAGATGTCTCCGGAAGGCATTGGTGCAGACGGAAGTGGCGCAACTGAAGTAGCAGGTGCCGCTGTGTCGATGAGAGATGAAGGTGTCGGAATAGGGTTTGACATAAGAGGGCAAGACGTAACCTTGCCCGATGCAGTGAGACCAGTCGCAACGTATCCAGAAGTTTGAGGCGCTGTGTTGGTTAGAGACGGCAAGATCACTACTGTTCCGCTAGCTTCGGCGCTGGTGACGACGTTGGGAACCTGGGAGTTATCCAATGCTGGTGCTGATGTTTGCTGTGATCCTTTCGTGGCCCTGACTGTTACGGTTACGTTCGCCGTCTCTGTCAGGCAAGCTATATCACGACTATCGAGGAGTAAAGCCCGAACGTTCAATTGGCCGAGAGACACCGAATCCGGGTGAGTATCGTGAAGGCGAACGTGTTGCTGGTGAAATAGGGCGAGTGCGTTCTCGCAGAGGAGGACCTGTATCAAGGTTAGCCTGAGGATCCCCATTTTCGTATGAAAGCCCGCCATTGCGGGGGAGGCAATGATCTTATCGTGTTAGTATGAGGTTGTAGAGGATGTTCAAGCCTGTTTCTGGCTTTCGGGGGTATGTTAGGTAGCGCGTGGCAGGGAGAGAAGTTCCTCAATTCTGCATGAGGTAGTATAGGAGCGGTGCTCCAACTCATATAAACAGGTGTCATGGTGAAAGCAGCCACACGTCAACAATGGACAGTCCTCGGTGAACCGATAGTGGTAAGCCCACGGGTGGGATTGCCGCAGTCCAGAACGTGAAGATTTGCAGCGTTACCGCGCAACGTATGGACCAAGAATGTGAAGGGAATGTACCGGTCCCAGAAACAATGGATAGGTCTCACCTGGTTAGGAATGCAGAGCGGCTTGCCGGGGAACTAGGTCTAGGTACAGAGCAATGAGAGCCGCGTGATGAGATAGGATAAGGTGCTAGGCACTGAGGGATCGCGATCAGTCAAGACAGGTAGGCGTCGGTGGTGGCCGTGTCTTGATGGCAGCAGAGGCTTCTGAGTCTTTGGCCAAGAGCTGATGAAGCGACGATGATGTTGTGGCTGGCAACAGCGGCACTGGCAATGGTCTGAGGACTGCGTTGGGCGACAAGACGCGATGCAGCCGCAAAAAGACCAGCAAGTAATATAAAAGACAAGGTAGGTATGTGTACTGGTTCAACTAGGCGGTCTTGGGTCTTTTTCTGGCAAGCGCAATTGGAGAGAGATGTTGCGATGGGGAGTTTCGACTCATGAGGTTAAGTATGCACGATTAATGCAGCACCCAAACGAAACGACCCTCTTTGGCTGACGCGTGCCTGCCCTTGGCGTGGAGACTCTTCGGCATCCAAGCTGCCGCTTGACAGTCCGAGAAGGGAGGGGAAATCAGCCAATATTGGCAAAAATGACCGGTGCAATTGACAGAGCAACAGGTCACTTGGCCTCGAATACGATGGTATGCACGGATAATTGAGACCCGTTGGGGCAAAAAGAATGTCTTCTATCTCCAGGGACCAAAGCCATGGAGGGGCATATCGTCGTCCCTCTCTTTGCCTTTAGCGAGACACTCGGGCCAGTGACGTAAGAGTAATGGCATCGCTGACTTTTGAGCAGCGGGATCGGGGTGGTAACTGCAACTACAGGCCACTGTTGCGAGAGCAGATGTTGAGCTGAGGTTGACGACAGTGGTCAGAAGATGCCCTTTGCTGACGCATTGGAGACAAGAGGTTGCTTCTTCTCGGTGTAACCAGCTTCTTCTGCCTGTCACCAGGCAATATGATCTTGGAGAAATCCTTGGCGTCATCTTGGCGAATGTCAGTGGCCACACTTGGCTTGCTGCTGTGACCTGGAACATGTGTAGATGAACTGTACAATTCGATGAAGGTAGCGTCAGGCGAAAGATGGTGTCGAAAGTGTAGTCTGCATCATATAATGGATAGTAATAGTAGTCAATTGAAATCGCAGAGCCAATCGCGGGTATCGAAAGCAAGTCTACTCCCAAGCGCCCCAAGCGCCTATAATGAATCGTATATCAGAAACCAAGAGAATGTTGCTCCCCTTGCACAGTCTCATCTTTTCTTCTCCAGGCTATTAGCCCCAGACCTGCCCACCTTGTAAACGCGGTACCGATCTTCCACGGCCTCGGCAGCAGCGGTGTCAATAGCCGTAGCATCTGGCCTCATGACCGGCCGACGGTCTCCTCCTTTCTTGATCTTGTAGGCTGTATAACGGTCTTCCGCGGCCGGACTCGGGGCCGGCCTCGTGACTCGTTGTGGCTGCTGTTCTTGGGTTGAGTGCCCCCTCTTCAGACTGTAGGCACGATATCGGTCCTCCACGACCGACGCAGCCGTAGCCTCTGTCGGTACCGCCGCGATGACTTGGCCAGCATACGCAATCGGGTGCGATCCGTCTCCTTTCCTCAACTTGTAGGCACGGTATCGATCCTCCACGATATGTGCAGCTGCAGCCACTGTTGTAGTTGGAACCGCCGTAACGACCTGGCTGGTCTGTACCATCGGCCGCGATCCATCTGCTTTCTTCAACTTGTATGCACGATACCGGTTCTCCTGCGCAGCCGCCGCCTCGGCAGCCTCAGTCTTGTGCCGCATCTCCTCCTCCTCCTTCTTCCTCTCCTCGCGCCTCCTCTCCCTCTTGCGCTTCCTCTCCTCGCTCTCGGCATCCCTCATCCCTTCCTTCTTACACTTCCGAATCTGCCTCTCACTAAGCACCCACGGCGGCTGAAGCACCTCGTTCCGGAACCGCGTCCGCTTCTCCCACAGCGCCACTTCTTCCTCCGTGGACCGGAGGATCTTGACCTTTTCGATCCTGATCTGCATCTCCTCACGGAACATAGTCAGTCCTCCCTTGATGTCGATGACGGTGCCGACATCTACGTCGACGCAGTCGGCAGGAGGCTGCGGCTGCGGTCGTTTGGTGAACCACCCGTTGGTGTCCAGATTGGTAGCGCTTTTGTCGGACGGCGGTGTCTTTGTCGCGACTGTGCATTCGATGCAAGCCCCGCTGCTGTCGTCAACCGTGTAGATGCGCCGGCCCGGGAAGTCGTCCACGGCGACGACGATGCCGACGATGCGTGCCCATTTGATAGGCAGGTTCTTGTAGAAGTAGAAGTTTTGAACTGCAGCATGCATTCACTCGTCAGCCTGTGGAGCCACGCATACTATGCATGTTGGCGGCAATTTTACCTTCATATTCAGGCACGGTCTTCAGGGCGTGGACGTCGGATGCCTGCATGAGGCACCATGTGTTGAAGGTTGGGGAGAGTTGCAGGCAGTACTGCGGATAGAGGCCGCCTATTGATACATCGCTCGTCATGGCATTGTCGGTTGAGGATCACTTTGGCATCCTCAACCCAGACCTGACCGTGAAATGTCGTGATAGTCAGCTGCAGGTCCACTCAGATGGGAGCGGTCGGCCGTTCTGAGGCTCCGAAAGCGCGTCGCGTTGGAACATGTACGTGATAGAGGGAGATTCCGTTCTTGGGGGAAAAGTAAACTTTCGTGGTTGACCTGGGGATGTTTTAGCGACTGCAGTGCTGAGTGCCCCGCCTTGTGGCGCTACCGTTCAGGACCCCATGCTGATACAAGTGCTACCTCACATTACCTCACCTTAACTAGTGACATGAAGCACTTTGCATCCAAATAGTCCTAGAGTAAAGCACTCGTCACCATCCGCCAAGTTGGGAGTTATCGAACATGATCGTGAAGACGTGGAAGGTCTCCAAAAATTCAAAAATATCACTTTCATTCATGCGATTGAGTCCCATACCAAGATTCCATATCCTTGCCGGTTTCCCCCAAGCCTTAGACGCCAATCCAGAAATGCCATGTTTTACCGCTTCGATCTTCTTCCCGCTTTGGCAGGTTTGCTTTCGTCTGCCTTGGGCTTCTTCAGCCGTGCAGCTGCAGCCTGGAATGCCTCTTCTGACGGCTCTTCCTCCTCCACGACCCTCTTCTTGCCCTTTTTAGGCTGGCTGGTGGCTCCATACTTGGCAGCGAGATCGTCCAGAAAACCTGCACGTTTTTGCTGGTTGCCCTTAATGAGCGCGGCCAGGTCGGCCTCTCCATTATCCTTGCCCTTCTTCTTCCCCTTGCCGTTTTTGTCGCCAAAGAGCTTATCGTGAACTCCAAGCTCTTTGGCGTACTCCTCGGCCTCGTTCGCCTCGCCCTTTGCTGCCTTGACGCGAGCCGCTTTTGACAGCTTGCTCTCCTTTGTGTATCGCTTGTATGCCTGGACATCTTCGCTGGCAATAGCCTCGTCAATGATCTGGCGGAACCGTTCGTCGTCCTCGAGCACGTCGCTTAGCATGACTGATTCGTAGATCCCGTCCATGTCGCCCTTGGAGTTTTCGTAGGCGATCAAGACGTCGTCCTTCTCCTCGTCGGAGCCCTTGTACTTATTGGCAAACTTTTCGATGGCTTCTGCAGAGATCGCATCTTGGAATTGTTCGCGGTAATAGTCGGACCAGTTGAAGCCCTCGGAGTCGATGATGGACTCGGATGTAGAACCGGTTGTGTCGTATCGCTTGCGTCGTGCCGGGTCAGAGAGAATGGCGTAGGCGAAAGCAATGGCCTGGAACTTTTCCTTCGCCTCATCTCTCTGGTCATCGGAGACCTTGTCTGCGCGAGAAGTAATGTCAGTCATGCCCCACGAGGATGGTGGGCTGCTCCCTCTTACCTGGGTGGTTCTTGAGTGCTGCTTTTCGGTAGGCAGACTTGACCTGTTCCGGTGTAGCCTCGCGTTCGAGTCCCAAGATCTCATAGGGGTCGATCTCGGGGGGACTGTCGTCAACAAGCTCGTCGGGAGATGACATTTTGAAGGCTGTGGGGATGTGAATGTTGGGTTGATGATAGACAGAAAGCTCACTCAGAGCTCTGCGACGCGCTCAAGCTCGCGGAGACGCGCCTGCTAAAGTGGTGGGGCGCATGCGTTTAAGCACCGGGTCGATTGGCAGTCCGTGCATCGAGGAAGTCGGCGAACCGGGGCTTGCGGCACCGATGCGCTGAGCTGAGGCAAGAGCTTCACTCCCTGCCCCTCTGCCCCTCCCACGATGACTGGCTCACTGATGAAAGCTACTTTTTGTACCTAATCAATCTCATGTAGGAGTCCATTCCAGCTCAATTCGTCTTGCAGTATTGAAATATCTCAAAGCACTCGGGAAATCCTCATAATCTCACTTATCGCACTGGACTCGACGTCATCCAGTCAACTTTCGTATATCCTGAAAATGGCATCAGAGGTTGAGGGCATTCAACCAGCACCGATAGCGCCAGGCGACCACGAGGGGTACCTCCAATATGCGCTCTCGCTGGCGAAACAGTCACCACCAAAGCCGACAAATTACAGAGTCGGAGCGGCCCTCGTCAACCCCGCCACCAACACAGTTATCTCGACGGGCTACACCTTGGAGCTGCCAGGTAACACGCACGCCGAGCAGTGCTGCTTCATGAAGCTGGCCCAACAGCACGACGTTACCGAGGAGGAGCTGGGCTCCGTCATCAAGACGCCGCTTGTGCTCTACACGACCATGGAACCGTGCTCGACGAGGCTCAGTGGGAATCTGCCCTGTACCAAGAGGATTCTCCAGCTACGGTCTTTTATCAAGACCGTCTACGTAGGTGTTCAGGAGCCGGAAAAGTTCGTCAAGGATAATACCGGACGGAGCGCGCTCGAGAAGGCGGGTGTCGATTTCGTGCACATCAAGGGGCTCGAAGGCGATATTCTCAAAGTGGCTACGGCGGGCCACGTCAAGGCTGCCCAATAGCGACGGGTTGAGATCAATGATGCTTTGGTTGCGTGTTTGCTCGATGCTTCCAAATCGCCGGTGGGCTGCCGCCAATGCTGGCGTATGCGGTGGCCCGCTGTCATGCAAGGGTGCGCACTGTGGGATGACGACAAACTGCCTTTCACAAGTTGTTTTCCAACTGCGTTCACAACGAGGGCGTTTGCGGTGTTGAGAGGAAAATAGGGAGAGGGCATCATTGTAAAATCCAAACAATTTGAAATGATCCTCCAAGCTGCATGCTCTACTTTTTGTGCCGCCTCAACTTGAGGTCGTGTAATGCTCCACGCTTTCGCTCACTCAATCTCTCGAGTCGTTGGTAGTCGTACTTGGGCACCAACTTACTCATCTACCTAGGCACACTAGGTAGGCAAGATAGCTTGGCACATCTTGATGTAAGGTATGCAGTTAACCTGCGCTGGATCGATCTCCAATGCAGCTAATCGCCCGGTAACCGCTGCCAGGTCCCTTCTCAGCCGGCCCCACCCCAAACGCCGGACTGCAACGATGCGCTACTTCGATAGCGATTGCACGATATGCTAGCTTGGAAATCGTGAGCTACATGTTACTTAAATGCCAGAAATAAAACGCTTTCTCGACTTGATAGCATATGACTCCCGAAGAAAGCAAGGTAAGTGCCATAGCAGAGCGAAAGGCTTGATGACATGGACAATCAGCAGCCACAATTCCGCCTTCCCGGTGGTTCTGGTCCGGCCAGCTGCCGATTGCAAACCAGATGGTCGCACCCCTCACTCAAGGTAGGCACTCCATTTGTTTTTGCTTCCCTGCTGTGCAGATACACACCGCTCCTTTTTGCATTTTGCGTTGGCTTGACCTCGCCTGCAGTCATGGGCTTGACTACATCCTCAACGACGTTCAGAACAGCAAAATACCCACGCACTTACCGGTAGGAAAGCGCCGGCAAAGTGAGAAAAGAGCTACATCTACTCCACTAGGGATGTTGTCTTTACATCCTGAATAGTCATGGCCGTAAGTTGAAGCGAGGTTGATCTGTACTTGTCGGCTTAGTCATGAGCCGTATACCTGGCAGGCAGTCTATCGACTGGTGTGGGTGTGCTTTTGCAACCATCTTGTGTGTACTTGAAGCTGATCAAACGTATTCAACCAATCGGGAGAGCCCCTGGATATCCTGGGTTTGTGCATGCACCGGTAGTATGCCAGGGCGTTGGCTGAGCCACATGGGGAGCAATGGGAGAAAGACAGCTGGTTGCGGGCTTCAAGCAGACATTGGTGCTTGGGCGAAGGAGGCCATCCTCCCCCGCCGTTTTTACACTTTGATGTTGCGTCGCACAGAGTACTTTGTACCACAGTGGTTCAAGTTCTTTGATAGGGTGATAGACACCGATAATAGGTCCCAATGACGGTTTCCAACGATTGCATTACGTCCCTGTGCAAACTGTCAGCTTGGGCACCGTCAGTTTGGCTTGCCTTAGACAAATCATCCATATTTATCTGCAGGTGCTCTCACAACTGTGGGAAGCTACGAAACTGCTTGCCACCCTGATTGTGCCTCTTCTTGCACCATAGTGACCTTCACCTTAAGCTTAAGTAGGTAGTAGCTCCTACCCCGGACTTCCAAGTACCGTCGTGAAGGAGCAGGAAGGACCCTTTTTGACTTTCTCTGGTGCAGTGCCCCACTCCAGACACACAAGGATACCCGCCGCTTCCCTACCAGGACTGAGATCCACTACCTACCTACATACTTTCACCCATCCCATCTCCCATCTTTCACGCTGGACTAACGCAACACCTCCAACCCAAGATCATCAGCCGAGTAGCGTTTTGTTACCTTGGCTTGTTTGTTTTATCTTTGACGGCCTCCCGCGTCGGTTGCCCTTGGTACTTTCATCATTTGTCAACCATCGTTCTTTCTGCTTTAATTCGCCATTGGCCAAATCATTGCACTTTTCCGTTTGGCATGCCGTTTGCTGGCCGACGTCAAATGTGCCTTCTCCCCTGAAAGCATACTTGACCTGGGCTCTTTCATGCTTACACGTTGACGACGCAGGGCACATAAATAAGCCAAGGAATATCTGAATACAGCCTCGTTCAGTAAGTAACGCTCCCACAGTTCGTGTTGCCGAGCACTGGAATCTCAATTGAACTTGTAACTGATTTGTTATGTAGCTTCAGCTTTACTGAGCATCCCTTCACTTATTCAATGGCTGACTCTGGACGTGGTGGCCGTGGTGGCCGTGGTGGCCGGGGAGGAGATCGTGGGGGCCGTGGTGGAGATCGTGGAGGCCGTGGTGGAGGAGGGCGTGGAGGCGGTGACTTCCAACCTAGAGGAGGCAGCGATGGCGGCGGCTTCCGAGGTGACCGAGGCGGCGGACGTGGCGGCTTTAGAGGAGACCGCGGCGGCCGTGGTGGCGGTCCTGGAGGTGATCGTGGTGGCCGTGGTGGTGGCTTCCGAGGTGACCGGGGTGGCGGTGGCTTTCGAGGTGATCGGGGAGGACGAGGCGGCTCTGACCGCGGTGGACGAGGTGGTTACGGCGGCTTCAGAGATCCATTCGAGAATGAGTCTCAATTCTTCGGGTAGGTTCAAGATCACAGCCATCGCTAAAGCTCGACTAACTCGCAGCAGTCAGAACAAGCCAATTCCCCAACCCGATCGCGGCACAATCGAGCTCGAGAATCGCATCATCAAGGCTCACCAGTCTCAGGACGCCGAACTTTTCAAGAAGATGAGCTCGATGACGCTCACTGACGCGAACTCGGCCGCACTCATGCCCCGTCGCCCTGCCTACGGCACCAAAGGCAAAAAAGTCATCCTGTGGGCCAACTACTTCCACCTCACCGTCAACCCTAACGCCGTTTGGCGGTACAACCTTGAAGTCCGCAAGGGCGAAACTAAGGAGAAGGAGTCTACACCTAAGGGCAAGGGCAAGGGCAAGGAGAAGGCCCAGCCTGGAGGTGGTGGCAGCAGTAGCGGCGGCGGCGGCAGCGATGGCCCTCCATCTTCCATCCCGGCTCGCAAGTTGAAGATCATTCTGCAAGCTGCTCTCGAAGAGTTGAAGAACCTTGAGCCAAACGCCATTCTCGCCACCGAGTTCAAAAGCCAGCTCATCTCTCTGAAGAAGCTCAAGTTGGCCGTCAACCCCATCAAGGTTATCCTCAGGCAGGAGAATTCTGACAGGTCAGAGAGCTACCTGGTTAAGATCGTTGGCGAAACAGCAGCTCCATTGAAGGAGATGAAGGAGTATCTTCAGACCATGATTGACAAGAGCGACCCGGACGAAGCCAACTTCCCTAGATTTGCAGCCTCTGTCGACGCTCTAGGCGTCATTCTCGGCTACACTGCCCGTAAGAACGACCAGGTCACTGCTATTGGCAAGGGCCGGTTCTTTCCTTGGGGTCAAGGATCTACCAGCCACCAGCTTGGTCAACAGGATCCTCTCACGGCTATTAGAGGATACTTCCAAAGCGTGAAACTGGGAACAGGGTCAATGCTCTTGAACGTCAACGTCACCCATGGTGTCTTCAAGATGCCCGTCAGTATTCGCGACCTTTGCCTTTGGTCTCAGGTCAATGTCTTCCAAAGGAGCCCTGCAGATGCCACACGGAACATCACCAGACTTCGCGCCCTGTCCAAGTTTCTGGCTCGCACTCGTGTCGAGATCAAGTTCAAGGATGCAAAGGGACAAGAGATCACCCGTAAGAAGACGGTTCTCGGCCTTGCATACAGGGGAGACCTCAGAAGCAATGATGCTAGAATTGCGGATCCATGGCACTACGGTGGCCCTCGCCAGGTGTCCTTCAGGATGGAGCCAGCAGACGGACAAAGGACGGTGATGAACAACAGACCGCCAGGCATGTACACAGTCGAGCAATATTGGACCTGGAAGTACGGCACAGCTCCCGATCTCACCTTGCCTCTCGTCAACCTTGGAACCCGCGAAAAGCCGACATTCTTCCCAGCTGAGCAGTGCACCATCATTGCCGGCCAAGCTGTTCGCGCAAAGCTCAACGGCCAGGAGACGACCGAGATGCTCAACTTTGCTTGTCGATCCCCCTTCAGCAACGCCATCTCCCTCACTTTCGACAGCTGCAAAGCTTTGGGCCTCGACAGCGAGGTTGTCAAAGACTTTGGCCTCAAGGTCGACAAGAATCTCTTGACCGTCCACGGTCGCGAGCTGATTGCGCCTAACATCGCGTATGCGAACAGGAACGTCACCGCTTCAAAAGGCTCGTGGAACATGGTTGAAGTCAAGTTTGCCAAGACGGGGCCCAATATCAGTAAGTGGACGTGGGTGCGTATCAAAGACCGCTACTCGAGGAACCAGACCAGCGATGTGCGTCAAATCGTCGGCAACTTTGTTGAGTTTCTCAAGGTAAGCGGTATGAGCATCTTGGCGGCACCCCTTCAGCTCGATGATCATCAGCGCGAGATTGATGACAATCTGGGCACAATCGAAAGGTATTTCACGTGGATAGACGAGCGCCTTCAGCAACAGACCAAGGGTGTCTTCGTCCTCGTCGTCCTTCCCAGGCAGGATACCGCATTGTACAGCAAAGTCAAGACACTTGCAGACACAAGGTTCGGCTTCCACTCTGTGTGCGTTGTGGAGAAAACCTTCATGAAGGACAACAAGCAGACCTACGCCAATGTTGGTCTCAAGTGGAATCTGAAGAATGGCGGTGTCAACCACATCGTCAAGGATCCTATTGACATTGTCAATCAGGGGAAGACAATGATTGTTGGCTACGACGTCACTCACCCGACCAACATGCCAAACGACAAAAACGCCGCACTCAGTCTGGTCGGCTTGGTCGCCAGCGTTGACAAGCACCTGGGTCAATGGCCAGGCGCCGCTTGGGAACAGGACAGCCGCCAGGAAATGCTTGGTGACGAGCTGGTCACCCACTTCAAGCGTCGCCTCGAGCTCTGGAGAGCGCGCAACACTGGCAACCTCCCGGAATACATTGTCATCTACCGCGATGGTGTGTCTGAGGGTCAGTTCACGCAAGTCCTCGATATTGAGCTGCCCATGATCCGTCAAGCCTGTGCCGCGATGTACGGTAACCGCAGGCCCAAGATCTCGATCATCGTCTCTGTCAAGCGCCACCAGACTCGATTCTATCCGACCTCGGAAGCTGACATGGATCCCAAGTCGCGCAACATCAAGAATGGCACGGTTGTCGATCGTGGAATCACTCAAGCGCGTTACTGGGATTTCTTCCTTACAGCTCACACTGCCTTGAAGGGCACCGCCCGTCCGGCCCACTACACGGTGCTCTTGGACGAGATTTTCCGCGATAAGTATGGTGTCGGCGACAGAGCGGCGGATAACCTGGAGAAGCTCACCCATGACCTCTGCTACTCGTTTGGCCGAGCTACCAAGGCCGTCAGCATCTGCCCCCCGGCCTATTACGCAGACATTGTGTGCGAGAGAGCTCGTGTCCACCGGCCTGAGCACTTTGATGCGTCGGAAGCGTCGGAGACTGGCAGTACCGTTGGTGGCCCGTCGACTTTGAGCGTCAGCGTGCACGAGAACTTGAAGGACACAATGTACTACATATGAGGTTGTTTGTGTGTCGGCGTACCGGAATCGATTACATCATACAGCGGGCAAAATGGAGGGCAGGGCTTGTTGACAGGATGGGAAACAGACGCTCTGCAGCAGGCGTGCTTAGAATAGACTTCCGAGATCAATCACAGCGGGTATTCACGTAGAAGATATCTCCCTCGTGGAAGCAGGCCCTTCTTGCGTGACCAGTGCTTTCCGGCTCAGTTGAGCCGAGTTGCTGCTCTTGTTCCGACTAGTCGCCCGATGGTGTTCGGGTCCGGAGCGGCCTCAAGTAAGACGGGGAATCGGCGTGCTGTGCTATTGGCTTCATGTTGACGTCAGTGGGGATCTGGTGAGGGGCAGCTCTCTCGTGGCGGGGTAAGCTATTTGCTCAGACAAGGAGCTGCGACAAGACAGACGGAGCCCAGCTCGACAGTGACAAATCGTCATGCACTTTTTTTCCAACTGTTATATCCGAAAAGGCTCCATCTGATGCAGCTTCGATCCCCGAAATAATTGTCAAGACTCCCCCCCGCTCCCAAACTTCCTGAAAGCAACCATTGCATGAACCAACCTTGCTGCTTCTATGAACACCCTCCGAGCCTTGCAGAGAATTAAGCTTATTCAGAATACACTTATCACGAAGCCTATCGGTGAGTCTTGTATAATGGCTTGGCGCTCCCAATCTCTTCTGTCTCATCGCCAGAATACAATGTAGCTGATTGCAATTTGTGTCTTTAGGACGAATCAGTCAATTCGCGACCATGGCTGCCACGACAGATGTCAAGAACTACAAGTTCAACCACTCGAGTAAGTTGGTTGATAACCGATTCAGGAATATTTGCTAATGAACCTCAGTGATCCGAGTGAAGGACCCCAAGGCTTCGGGTACGCATCAAACATCACCACTCATCCCCCAGCACCCCTATTGACACCCCAGCGTCACAGTCAAGTTCTACGAGACCCTCGGCATGAAGGTCATCAAGCAGATCCAGCAGCCCGAGGCCAAGTTCGACCTCTACTTTTTGGCTTACGACTCGCCCAACGCGCGGTCCGCCGGCAACGGCACGTTCGACCGTGAGGGCATCATCGAGCTAACGCACAACTACGGCACCGAGAATGATCCCGACTACAAGATCAACAACGGCAACACGGAGCCGCACCGCGGGTTCGGACACACGTGCATCAGCGTCGACAACATCCAGGCGGCGTGCCAGCGCCTCGAGGACGCCGGATACGCGTTCAAGAAGAAGCTGACGGACGGCAAGATGCGGCACATCGCGTTCGTGTTGGATCCCGATCAGTACTGGGTTGAGATTATCGGTCAGAAGCCGATTGAGCAGACGGAGAGTATCACCACTACGGATGTGACCACCTACAGAATGGTGAGACTACCTGTCTTTGTTTTGGGCCCTCTTTGACGCAGGAACCGCTAACAAATACCCTCTGTGGACGTAGAACCACACGATGCTCCGCGTCAAGGACTACGAAAAGTCGCTCAAGTTCTACCAGGACGTCCTGGGCATGACGCTGATCCGCAAGAACGAGGCCAGCGACTTCACCCTCTTCTTCCTGGCCTACGGCGACCTCAAGGAGGGCGAGAGCCAGGCGCAGCGTGAGGGCATCCTCGAGCTGACCTGGAACCACGGCACCGAGAAGGACGAGAGCTTCAGCTACCACAACGGCAATGATCAGCCCCAGGGTTTCGGTCACATTTGTGAGTTTTCTTTCACTGCATCTAACTGAGTGAGGTCAAAGGATACTAATAAGAGGATAGGCGTCACGGTTGACAACATTGACGCCGCGTGCGCGCGTTTCGAGGAGTTGAAGTGCAACTGGAAGAAGCGCCTTACTGACGGCCGCATGAAGAACGTTGCGTTCTTGTTGGATCCTGATAACTACTGGGTTGAGGTTGTCCAGAATGAGAAGTTTGCCGGCAAGGCCAACTTTTAAGCGCTCGTTTTGGAAGTTTTCTTTTCAAGGAAAAAGAACGTCATGAGTGGCATGAGATGAGATGAGATGAGAAGAAGGCATTGGGGAATGGCGTTTAGTGAGAGGCAACGGTTGAGCGGGATGGGCGGATTGAATGTGAAAGGAGGCGTCTGAAAAGTTGGTGAAGCTCATGCCGGGCGGGTGTTCAGTGAAGTTCTGCTAGTGGCCATATGATGTGGCATGTGAGGTCTTCCGTCAGAGAACAAAATCAAATCAAATAATCACGGCATTTCAAGTGTCAAAAGTTTACAGTGATTCCAAACTGCATGGGTGGCTGATGCTGATGTGAGGATTCCAAAGGTTGACCCGGTGGATCCTCGGATAACGGGCGCGTCGTGGAATCCTTTACCGTGATTCCATCATGATTCCACGCTGTGGCGCTTGCAGTGCCGCTGTGGCGGGACCTCTCTCCAAGAGCTCTGAGCCCGGACCCCCAGGGACCTTCGCACTGAAGAACCACACCCCGCCAAAAGTCGTTGACGCAACAGGTCGCCCTCAGCTTCTCACTGGCCACAGCTACAAATCATTGGACAACCCGAGCTCCGATTTGTCACTCTTGCCCTCCACTGCCTCACTTCTCACCCCTCGTCCTGTAACATCTTCAGACGACCTTCTTATATAAACCTCCCTCCAATCTCAACCTTCAATTACCAAGTGATCAGAACAGCCTCAAACTCACCGACTCATAAGACTGGTGAGACACACTGTACCTCGCGATCTAGAAAGAATTGCTCAATGCGATTCTCACCCTTCCTCTCAACCCTCGTCTATACCTTTTCCAACTTTTCCCGCGTCCGCGCCGCGCAGTCCCTGGGCACCCAGGCGCCTCTCGCAGCGAACCGACAGCTCCGCGCTTCCATGCCCTCGATCCCGTTCCTGGGCGCTCTGTTTGGATCTTCCGCTTCGCAGCAGGATAAGATGTCGTACCCCGATAAGAGGTCTGATGATGAGTGGCGGGCTGTTTTGAACAAGGGTATGTATGCCCATTCTCACTTCATCTTATGTGCCGCGTCTCTCATATAAAAACCCGGGCTTTCATGAGACGAGCAGTGCCTATGGCCCGCGAAGAATACGAAATGGATGAAGCTAACATCTCATCAGAGCAATTCCGCATCCTCCGCGAAAAGGGCACCGAACCCCCCGGTTCCGGCAAGTTCGACAAGCACTACCCTTCCGAGGGCGTCTACGCCTGCGCCGGCTGCGAGGCCCCGCTCTACAAGGCCACGCACAAGTTCAAGTCGGGCTGCGGCTGGCCGGCCTACTTTGACTCGTTGCCGGGCGCCGTCGTCCGCCACGAGGACCGCATGTTCGGCATGACGCGCACCGAGATTGTGTGCGCCAACTGCGGCGGGCATCTGGGTCACGTCTTCAAGGGGGAAGGGTTTGACACCCCGACGGACGAGAGGCACTGTGTTAACAGCGTCAGTTTGACGTTTGCGCCGGAGGAGAAGAAGGGTGGGGAGGGGACTGCTGAGGGTGCGAAGGGGGAGAGTAAGGTTTAATGGTTTGTGATGTTTGGGGGAATGGCGTTTTGAAGAGGTGTTGGTGGGTGTAGATGATAGTTTGAGTATTGCTCTCAGGGTGAGAGAAGAGGTCCACGAATGATGTTGAACTATTCGCTGAATGGACCCAGTGTATCAACAGACGTTGCATAGGAGATCCAAGCCTCAATGTGAGATACCTTACGTAAATTTGCCTTCTTGGCTGTGCGAGGCGGGCCTCGCATCTCTGACATGCCTTTAGTCCGTAGGCTCTATGCAACCTAGACGAATTGGTTCGCCCGTCACGAACCGTTTGTTTATGAACTCCTTCTACGTCTCGAGACTGGATGGTATAAAAATGATTATCTCCCGCAACAAGGCAAAACTAGGACGATGTGCAGTAGCTTAGCTGAGGTTGCTTTTGGTTCAGCTGTTCGAAAGAGAAAAGGCGGCATAGTCTCGAACTTTTGAGTGAGCTGAACCCCATTTATTCTCATTGGCTCTTGGAAAATCTGCGTGGCACTAATCATGGCCTCAGAAAACAGTGCTTCTCCATGCATAACACTCACGAGCCTCCAGCCTGCAGTATGTTGCACCCGTTTACCTGGCGTGCCTACCGGTGCTGGCCTCGTCTGGTTGGCGCTGATGGCGAGCCATACACCAACAGAGTGAGGCTTGGAAGACCTCGACATGTACCTTACTCTACCCAACCTATGAGAAGGTAGAAGCACTCTGCGGACCATCTTGGCGGCACAAAGGTCTGGACACGCTGCGAACGTCACCTTATGCAGAGAGGTTCAGCGAGTCTGCCTCGGTGAGGCGAAGTGCATTATGACAAGTGACATTCAGGGGGCTTGGGGGTTTGGAACCATCATATGATCAACCGAGATGCTAGGTAATAACTTTCACTCGCTGGCTCGGGCTTGATGCCTGAACTCACGGGCTTGCATGGCATTTGTGGAATATGCGCAATGTGTGCATGATGGGCCGGAAACCGCGTTTTGAACCAGTGAGGCTTGCAGTTACTGGTGTCTATCATACAATTTTCATGCAAGAGAGTCACAACCATTTCCTATCAAGGGCAGTTCAAAAAGGAGCCTTGTCCCGGATATCATTTACCCCGCCATGGCATTCCTTCACTAATGATTTGTCAACTCCAACTATCCCCGACTTCACCGTTCACGATCTAGCGATATTCGCCCGTGGAATAGGCACAAAGATGTTTAGTTGGCACGATAAAGCGTGCAAGTCTCTCAGTATTGGGTTCTCAGAAGAGTTAGGTCTACCAATCTGTGCTGGCGACAAATGCGTTGCTCCTCGCCGGGGTAGGACACGGGCTGCACCCGAAATAGCACTACCGGTGCCCGCTCCGAAGACCACGTTCGAGCTTACATGGCCATCTTCACTGAACTTGGTGGACCGAGAAACCTCCAACTCCAGCCTGGTCAAAGAAGGGTCAGCCGAACCGAAACCTTCCTCACTCAACGACGCAGGTCGGAACGTTGTGTCGCATCCTGGCCAACATACGCCGAGCCAACAAAAGCCTACAAACGACTCACCTTTTCGAGATGAGAATTCATACCAGCCTCTAGTCGCTCGCAAGACCAGGCTTCTTGATTTAATCGGAGGAAGCTACCATGATCCTATCAGAATTGAGCTTCACATCGCAGACTTGGCTGTGAAGCCGGAATACGAGGCCCTCTCCTATACGTGGGCAGACGAGAATGGGGACTCTTCAAAGTGCGAGAGAGCCTACATTGGAGAGCGGTGGGACATCCTACCCATAACTAAGAATTGTTCTAATGCCCTTCGCCGACTTCGATACCAAAATCGACCGAGGAGATTGTGGGTCGACGCCATCTGCATAAACCAGAATGATGTGGGCGAGAGGTCCCATCAAGTTGGCATTATGCAAAACATTTACGCAACTGCCTCTAGGGTTTTGATCTACTTGGGGGAAGATAAAGATGACTTGGATTCTACCAGCTCATCTCCGTGGAATTTCGATAAATGGAACACTTATTACAATAGATCTTTGGCTGCGCACAATGATCTCACACAACGATCATACTTCAAGAGAGTATGGGTGATCCAAGAGATAGCTGCGGCGCAAGATTGTTGGGTTCTTTATGGGACTAAAGGAGACCGATGGCTTGATTTCCGCAGCTCTACCAAAAATGCTGGTGATGGATCGAATCAGCTCCACCAGCAGCAAGATTGGTTCCACTTGCTTTCTCGAGGAAGGCCCATGGACCTACAAGAGCTTCCAAAGCTCTTACAAGCTACACTTCAATGTCGGGCAACGGACCCCCGAGACAAGGTCTACGCTTTGCTAGGTCTCTTCCCAGGAGCAAACGAAGCCCAGTTGACTGCAGACTATGCTCTCAGTTTGGACCAAGTGTTTAGCGGCTTGACTGCTTGGATGCTCTGTCAAAGTTCAGCATTCATGCTGCCAATATTTGCAGCACTTGAGCCATCAACCTCGTCTCTGCCTGCATCGTGGGTTGTTGACTGGTCGTCGGTCAGCGCCTTGAACAATATGGGGCCACACCTACCCCAGGCGGATTCAGGAACATATCTTATCAGCGAACCTCAAGATACTCCTCGCTTTGATCGGAATGGTACTATGAAACTTCGAGGACGCTTCGTGTCTCAACTTTCAAGCTGTTTGTTCAACTTTGAATCTCGAAAAGGTCCTTCCAGCGGCGTGAAAGGTCACTTGTACCGTATTTCAGATACCCGTTTGGCGGAGGTCGTACCAGACTGGGCCGAGTCGACCGACGAAGTTTTAGAAATCAGAGGGCTGGAGGACCATGCTCTCGTGCTTCGGCCCGTTATGAAGGCACCCAAGGCATATCGCTTTGTAGCTGTTGCCAAACACCCCCAAATTGCCCGAATTTCTGATTTGATCAACCGTTTGGATCGCAGGATGATTCTTCTTTTCTCTGCTTGGCAGTATGTGCTCAGAGGCGCGAGCGGCGGAGCACTCTGGTTTGAGACAGTCACATGGGACACAATCAAAGCTGTATGCTGGGAATTGAAGCATGCAAGCAACCTGGAAGCCGATGATAAGGGTTCATCAAAACTTGATCTTGGGAGTCGCCTCCGAGCCCGGATCAGGAACTGTATTAAGGATCCGGATCGGACACCAACCAGATGGGAAACAATCAGTGGGCTGCGAAACACAGTGCATTTGGAGCAAAATTTTCATGATCTATTTAGAGTCATGACGATTTTGGGTTGGGAATATGGGGCTGTTCCGAAAAGAGACCAGTCAGGTGGCTATCAGCGCAGTGTTCCATGGGATGAGGCATATCTCCGCGAACCTCATATACGCCACTTCCTGGAGGAATTCCAAAAAAGGTGTAGACACTCCGACGACCACGGAAAATTCAAATCCTCCTACAAGTTCGACAGATTTCTTCGGGAGAGTAGATATCAGCCTTTTGTCAAAGTGCTTCTGAGTCAGGGACTGGATCAAAAGATCATCACATTCGAGAATATGTCACGGATGGACGGTGGCGTCCTTCTTCGCAAGGGAACGCTCCCAGGACAGACCGTGCCATGGGCGCACGATTCTTTGAATTTGATAGTCGGGAAGCTCCCTGAGGTCGAGGAGCCTCTTGAGGATATTTGGTTCTACGGGGAATCGAACGACTCTCATCTCAACACTTGGGCGGCCGATTTCATTAATTCATGGACCCTTCTGGCAAATGAGAAATCTCCCAGACCCGATCCCCCTTCCTCTGAAATAGATGAAGAAGGACATGGCGGCGAGGAAGGATTCTGGGCCACAGGAAAGTCAACCAGGACGGAATTGACTGGCAGTTTTACAACCCCTGAGGTGGAGCCGGCGTCACCGGATCTTGTGAGCGAGGTAAAATGGGAGCCGCTGATGGATCTTGTGAGAGAGACAGAGGCGCGGCTTCTTCCTCTGGAGAAAGCATTCACCCTTACTGATACGTACGACGAAGATATGAAGGATGTCCCTTGGGAGGATATCCGTATAATTTAGTTGGATCTCTTCTTCTTGAGTAGCTTGTATGTAGGGGTCAGGCAGGCTTGTCTGTTCTTCAAGTATCGACACGTGCTTTGGTGTTCTGGGCTGGTGGTTTCGTTTTGGCATTACGTATTACTCTCATATCTCATATACATCTCAATTCAGCACCACAATCATATATACAAGAACATATACCCCTCGACATAGCGAAACTACACCTAACATCCACAAACATTGAACAGCGCAACAGAAGGATCATGATCGCTAACAAGATCATCATACAGCTCCCACGAGTTGACGTGGATGTGCTCGTACGCGGTGCCGTTCTTGTTCGCCAGCGCGGGGCTGACAAACATGTGATCCAGCTCCTGCGCGTTCATGTCGTAGACGTAGGTGTAGCGCTCCTCGACGGGGACGCCGACCGCCTCATCGAGGTCGATGAGACCCGAGGTGGAAGCGAAGACCTTGAGGGGCTCGACGAAGGCGAATTCGTTGAAATCGCCGGCGGTGATGATGCGGGCGTTTGCGTCGAGAGCAAGGATCTCGGCGATGAAGGACTAGAATTTGTAGAGTTAGCTTGAATCTCTTTTGCAGTTTTAAGGGGGTGAGGAATTAACGCACGCCGGTGATCTTAGCCTGCTCGATACGCGGGTTCACGACGCCATTGACGGGAGGACGGGGGTCGCCGTGCAGAGACGAGGAACCGCCCTTGGACGCAAAGTGCACGTTGACGGTGAAGAAGGTCTTGTTCACGGGCCCGTTAACGGCGCGCCACTGCGCAACGAGGGGCTTGCGGCTGGCGTCCCACGCGGTGTTGGTGGGGTCGATGCGGCCCGGGTTGTACTTGAGCGCGGGGCCTTCGAGGACCTCATTGGCGTCGAGGGCGCCGCCCGGGTTCGGCTTGTAGAGCTCGACGACGTCGGGCTTGTAGAGGTACGCGACGCGGATGTTGCCGCCCGGCTGGCCGCCGTCCTTGCCGTCGACGGGGTCGATGACGACCCAGTCGTACGCGACACCAGACTTGGTCTCGATGGCTGCCGTCAAGGTGGAGAGGGTGAGGTTGGAGGAGACGACGCCGTTGTTGGTGGCGCCGTTGTCGTCTTGGATCTCCTGGACGAAGACGAGGTCGGGGGTCTTGAGGTAGTCTACGATGTGGGCGGCGACGGAGGGGAGGTGGGCGACGGTCGGAGAGAGGTTCTCGACGTTGTAGTCGCCGACTGTGATGCCTCTGCAGTCGCCGCGGCTGACGAGGGTGGTGGCGGGCGCGTTGTTGGTGGCGTTCTTTGCGATAGTGATGCCGGTCAGGGGCAGAATGCGGTAGAAGCCGAAAGCGTTTGTGACGATGCCGGTGATCTCGGTGAGCTCGTCGCCCATCTTGGACTCGGGGTTCTTTGTGCCGTCGAGGGGGGAGCCGATGATGATGGCCTCGGGGTTGGAGTCTTGTTTGCCGTGTTAGTGACTTGTATGATTCAGAGAAGACAGACGATGTATACCCTTGTCAGACATGGTGAGACCGCCGTGCGCATTGCGGCCGGTGACGGGCCAGTCGCCAATGACCCAGGTGTCGCCGTACTGGTTGGGGCGAGAGATGCCAACGGGGCTCTTGATTGTGACGAGCTCGCCGCTCAGCGACTCCCAGAAGTCGAGGCCGTAGAGGGCCGGGTTGAGGACGGGGTTCTCGGTGGAGATGTTGGCGACGGCGTTGGGGACGGCATAGACGTCGCCGCCGTCGAGGCCGCTGTACTGCTCCGTCGGCGGGGGCAGGGTGTCGACGCCGATGACGAGCGGGGTGACCGCGTTACCTTTTGAAACGACGACGACGTTCTTGGGGGAGCTGAGCTCTGTGAGATAGATGTAGTTCGTGGCGGACCTGTTAATTGTTTTGTTAGAGGAACTCTACGTGTCTTTGAGAGCCCAAGACTGTATCGTACCTGTACTCCTGGATCTTTCCATCCAGAGTGATGAGGTCGCCTACGGTCAAGTTCGCGCCAACGGTGCTGCCGTAAACGTAGAGCGCCTCGGAGGTGGCAGCGTCGTCATCGGGCGTCGTCGAGCGGATCCAGATTCCGGCAGGTCCCTTTGCGAGAACAAGACCGGTGACGTTGGTCACGGACTGGTCCTTGTACGGGGAGAGGAACTTGTTGCCGTTGATCTCGGCAATGGTCAAGGCCGAGGCGGCGCCAGCGGCGGAGAGGAAGAGGGAGGCGACCTTCATCTTGACAGTGTACACCGCGTCAAAACGAGAACAAACGACTACGGAAGCTATTCACTCTTCTCTCTGGAATCGCAACGTCCTGAGCACACAAGAGCAAGAGAGGGATCGTCCATGTTTACTCCCGTCGCGGGGCAAGTCGCCACTATATGTAGGATGGAGCTGAACCTCTTCAGCCCATGATTGCGGTCCCGTTTCCCCTGGTCAGGGTCGTATCGAGCCGAGAGAGTTGCAAAGTGCCAAGAAAGCTGCACCATATCGCTTCGCTGGGTCCCCCGGGATCCAGCGATCCATTCCGCCCTTGCATCGCGGGAGCTGCCTGCTTTGCATGTGAGCAACCCGCGTCGGATGCGCTCCAAGAGTCCATGTACGCGATAAGATTGGACAACGAGAGAGAGGAGGGCGCGGCCAGCTCCGATATTACGCACTCGATATCTCTTGACTTGTAGCCTGTAAGGCCAGCGGGACATCCTCACTGGAGGGAAACGGCAAGACAATGATTCTTTCCCGTCGAGCGGAGAGCGGAGAGCAGGGGTCCTGTCGTATCAATTGACCTCTTAGAGCGATGCGTGCCTGGCACGTTCTTGTCAGGTTGTCATAAGAAACCTGGGCTAACGGCACCGGCAGAGACATTAGATGAGCCCCGCATTAGCCTTGATTGACTTCAACCCCCCCATCGCGGCGCTGTATTGGTTGGCCATTGCTGAATCGGGAAGGTGAAGGTTTCCTGCGAGGGCGGGAGAGTGGCCTAGCTGGTGTCTAGTTCAGTGGGGAACAACCCGGCCTAAGCATAACGAAAAAGGTTGAATTGGGAGACGGGTGTGTGGGGGAAAGGCGAGCGGCGGAACGTTGGAAAGCAACTTTGCTTCTGACCCTGGGTCATATCTATACGGTATATCCATACGGAGTGCAGAGATAGGCAATGAGAGAGAGACTGGATACACAATCAGCGTGTCATTTCCAACACTACAACCATGATAGGAGTAGCAACCAAGGTGATCCGAAGAGCCGAACAAACCGCAAGACAAGCCGGACCAACTCCCCTCCTAGGACAAGTCTGCTCTCGAGGCCAAGACCTGGGTGGACGCGTGGTGTCTTGCTGTTGTTGGTCGACAGCCGTTGCTGGCAAGGTGGAGGAGGAGGCTAAGAGTAGGGAGCAAAAGTCAATTACCTACTCTAAAAAGATGGACAGGGAGTCGTTGAGGGGCCGCTAATCTGCGCCTTATCGCCTGCCAATCATCTGCCTCACGTGTCGATGACCGACCGCCGGCCCCGGAGCTCCAACCCCGGTCGTCCCTGGATGTGCCCCTGTCTATCACCGCTACCAAGATTCTAAGCTTGACTCGACTCCGCTGGGGCCCTTCAGCTCCCTCCCTCACGGCTGAGTACCTGTCCTCACATTCTTTGCGTAGCATCATGAACTCGCACTCATGAACATGCAGTCGACAGTCTATGATGCACCACACTCTCATAATACTCATTTGAAGAATCTTTGGTCGAATTCTCACTATCATGGTATCACAACTAATCTTTTTCAAGGATGGGGATCTGGCCTAAAAACTGCGGTGCACACCTTTACTCAATTTCCTACAAATGAAAACTGTCCCGGAACATTACAAAGAGTTGTACAAATCCCAAGGACCCCTTGGCCATTGAGTGAAGTTTCCCGCATAAGCCTCAGAAAACCCTTGGCGACGACAGGAACAGCTGCCTACTGATATCTCAAGCGAGATCAGGCTAGCAAAATGTATGCACCAACAAAAAATTCATTTCTTTTCCGACCTCGAGACATACACACTCGGAAACAGCTCTACCAGCGTAGCTGCCTTTGCTTCAGACTTGCCACCGGTCGAGCCCGTCAAAGACCGCACCGGTGATCGCTGGGACCGCCGGGAACCGTCCCAGGCTCCGACTCGGCTTGTTGCCCTGGGGCCCCGGCATCTGGAGCCGCTCAACACTCGAGCGTCCACTCCCGCTTACTCCAGATCGGCTTCCTCCTCGTCGCGCTGGACAAGCTCGTGGTCGTCACGCTCAGCCAGGTCATGCTCTTCGCGCTGTTCCAGGTCGGCTGACTCCTCGTCACGTCCGAGAAGACCGCTGAGAAGGGCGAGAGGGTCGGCCTGGGCCTTGTTGGCACCACCGTTGGCAGCGTTTCCGCCTGCAGCGCCTCCACCAATCTGCAAGCGAATGTTAGCTAATGTTCAATGGCATGCGTCTCTGGGGCTACTTACGCTCTCGAGGATGGAAGAGAGGATGTTGTTGCCGTCGGCTGCCTGGTTGTTCTTCGCAGCGGCGCCTCCAGCAGCGTTGTTCTTCTTGCCGTTCTTGCCGTTCTTCTTCTTGCCACCAGCGTTCGCGGTTCCGTTGTTCGCAGCACCTCCAGCGGCACCACCGGCGGCACCACCAGCAGCCGCGCCGCCAGCTGCGTTGTCGGCTCCGTTGTTCTTCTTGGCAGCGGCGTTACCCTTTGCAGCCTTGGCCTTCTTTCCGCCAGCCGCAGCGCCGTCGGCGGCGTTGGCAGTTCCGTTGTTGGCAGCGCCACCGTTGTTCTTCTTGGCCTTGTTCTTCTTGGCTCCGGCAGCACCGGCGGCAGCGTTGTTCTTCTTGCCCGCGGCCTTGGCCTGTGCGTTCTTCTTGCCCTTCTTGCCCTTCTTCTTGCCTCCGGCGTTGGCAGTTCCGTTGTTGGCGGCACCGCCGGCTGTGGCTCCTCCGGCCGTGGCACCACCGGCAGCGGCACCGGCTCCTCCGGCAGCAGCGGCGTCCTTGGCGGCCTTCTTAGTGGCGACTCCGTTCTCGCCTGCGTTCTCGCCCTCCTGCTGGACGTCGGCGTTGTCACCGGCTGGCGTTGAAAGTTAGATGAGTTCCGGACGCTGATTTGCGAGTTTCTTTGACATACCTTGCTCGCCCTTGGCGCGGCGCAGAACAGGCCTAACATCAACCTGAGCCGGGAAGTTCAGGTCTCGGACGGGCAGAGCCACGGATCGGTCCTCCTGGGTAGGGAGGGCGATGACCTGGGCGGCGATGGCCGCAATGGAAAGGAGGATAGAGCTCTTCATTTTGAAGGAGTGCTGAATGTCTCTAGTCAAAGAGATGAAGAAAAAGTTGATGGTATAATTTACAACTGAAAAGGGTTCACAGAACCTGGAGAGAATGGAATGTGAGAATGGAATAAATGAGAAAGGCACTCAAGGAAAGACTGGACCAGCCAAAGAGAAGGAACTGAACCAGAAATGTTGTTGTGTTGAAGACTTGAAAGTGTCGAGAGAAGAGAAACCGAAATCAAGGCCAGATCGGGCTGGGTTGATATAGAGTATAAGCTTCCTGAGAATCTCACTCGGATCCAGATCCCTCGGAATATCATGCCGCAGGTAGAGCAGGCACAGATTGCACCCATGAGGTCACAGTGCCAAGGAATTGAGACGTCTTGTCAAACAAATGAGGTGAACGCTATCTTTGCCCAATGTCACCATGTCAGCCATGTCACAGACTGTGATCCATCGCGAGGGCAGTGCAGTTTGGTGGAGCAGGGGAGTCGGGTCCTCAGTTTGAGAAAGAGACGTTATGGCGAATGGGAAGAGGTGTGTGCCAAGCATCACGACGGTGCCATGTCGCGCCAAACCCCGGAGCAGCCGTGAGCCGGGGAAAGCGGAGACGAGGTCCCAAAATAAAAAGAGAGCAGAAAAGGTGTCTGTAGCCGATTGATGATGGGCCTCGCTACCATGCGTTCGCGGTTGAGGGTGCCAGTGGTGGCCATGGAGGGCGACTGTTGATCAGACGGTTGGTGATTCAGAACGGCCCCGCCGCGGCGGATTCTTGTATGTACCTCTCCAGAACTGAGGCTTGCGGAGGTGGAACGGCTCCCCAACGGTGGTGGCTGCTTGACGGTAGCTAGACCTGGTAATAGGCTGCATCCAGCCATCATCCCGTACTCTGCACACACAGAACGTGGGAACTAGTGTCCGTCCTGCCTGGCTGGCATGTGTTGTTAATGCTTGTGCGGTGGTGGCATTCCCAAGGTCGCGTACCTTGCGGTTAGTGGAACAGCCATGGGGGTTGAAGGGTTTGATCGGAGGACAGGTTGTCAAACCTGGGATGAAACACCGCCCAAAAGGGCGCTTGGCCAAAATCGCGAACGCCTCTCGCTTCCCAACAAGAGTCTTCCTTCCCCTCTGCGCGCGGCTGTCTCCATCCCAAGACGCTGGTGACGAGTGGGATGCCGCCCATTTGAAGAGTGAGGTGCCAGGATGGCGTTTGAAGGATGAGCATGCGCGAAGCGATGAAGTCTAAATTTCAGAAGTGCAACGATGCACCCTGGGTCGTTTCTTGACAAGCAGGGGAGTCTCTCGTGAATCAGAACCGGCCCCCTAGGCGTTGCAGAAGCAAAAAGTGGCCTGAATGGCAGGATTTGCAAAGACTTGTTGGATCTCTGCTAGGGCACCGGTTACGATGGCCGTAATAGTACAGTGCCAGTACGAAGTAGCGTATAGCAACCAAGACACGCTCCGAGTCCCCACGAGCTTGATTTGTGAGCCGCAATCAAGCGTTGAAGGGTTGAAGCTTGGCCCTGGTCGATACCGTTACATCGCTCTCCTTCTTCCGTCATTCGCCGCACTACTGTTCCTGAAGGCTGTCTGATTTGCAGTATCTGCTTAGGCCTTTAGAAATTGGGGGATCTCGACTGGAGAGATGCTTGTTTGGAAGCGGTGCCGCGGGTTGCGGTTGCTGCGCCATTCCGTCCCATTCCATGCCGTCCGTTCCCATCCCTTCACAGTTCACACAATAAATGCCGAGGGCTAGAACACAAGGCAACGTTGGGAGTCTCCGCACCCTGGTCGACATGGCTCGAGGGTTGAGGGATCGAAGTCGAGAGAAGGGACGGTGTTTCAACTGGTGCATCGAATTGCCAAGGACTTCTGTCTCGAGGAGATTGACAAAGTCGGGCGATGATCGTCGCGCAACGCTGGCCAAGACCACAACAGCATGGCGTTCTTGTTGAGGTGGGA